CCATGGCGCGCTCCGCGCTGATCTGCGGCAGGGGACTGCCCCGCGCGGGTCCCGGCCCCCGGAACCGCGGCCTCGTGTCCGAGCGTACGGATCCCGGTGACCTTGGGAAGCCCGGGGCAGGGGAGCCGCGCGGGCACTGAGCGCCCCTACCCCCACCCCGGGGCTGCTATTCCGGGCGCCGCGCTCAGGGCCCGGGAATGCGCGCCAACCGAGGTCGCCCTGCCTCGGTGCCAGGAGTCCGGGCGCTGTCCCCTCTCCACCAGCGCCCAGATCGCGTCCCCGCGAGGGTCCCCTTTCCTGGTCGCTGCCCCCTCCCCTAGTCCTTCCCCCCGCCCCTCCCTCAAGGTCACCCTACTCAGGACCCCGAGCGCCTGGGTTCCCATCCTGGGGTTCCTGCCCAGGGCCCGGCCACCCCCAGCGCAGGGCCCCAGCGCACTGGGAGAAGCTCAGCCCGGGGCCGGGCGCGGGGGGCGGGCGGAGAGCCCCCTCCCGGCCGCGCATTCCCGGGCGCTGCTGTCAGCGGAGGGCGCGCCCCACCCTGCCTCCCGCCCTCCCTGCCCGGCCCCCCGGGCCTCGAGCTGCGGCTTCGCAGCCAGACCCGGGGCCAGAGATCCCTCTCCCACGTGGCCGTGGTCCCACCCTCTAAGGCCTCAGTTTCCCCATCCCGGCAATGGGGCTGGCAGGTTTCCACTGCGACACTCCAGCTGGACCTCGGCTTTGGGTGGACTGGAAGGGACAGGGTTACCCCAGGGCTCCCATCGCCCCAGCCTTTCCCTGCTCAGCGTCTGCACTGCCCCCCACCCGCGCAGGGACACAGCCGGTGCCATCTGCTTGTCACCTCCCCTGACTCTTCACCCCATGATGCTCCCTGGTGGGCAAGTTGAAGGAACAGGGGCACCCAGGGGGCGATGGGTGGACTGCCCTCTGCCCCCTGGGCTTGGCCCAGGCTCAGCTTGAGGGCCCCTCCTCTGCAAGACCACAGTGGGGTCTCCCAGCCCTGACCACAGGGAGGGCAGGTGTCTGTCCAGCTCTGTCTGTCCTCCAGCTGGGGCCATCCAATGCCAGTTGTCCATTCGACATTTACTGAGCTCCTACTGTGTGCCAGTACAGCTCCGGACAACCAGCCCACCAGGTTAAGGAGGGAGGTGGCCCCTTGGGAGTGTGTAACCCCACCTTCTGATCAGGACACACAGAGGAAACAGCTGCAGACAGGGTGGGGATCAGGAAGGCCTCCACTGAGGAGGCGATTGCCACAAGGAGGTGGGGAAGGGCAGCCAGGTGGTGGGAACAGCAGGTGCAAAGGCCCTGAGGCTGGAATCTGAGAAGAAGGGACAGTCGGAGGGCCGCCTGGGTGGGGGCAGAGACGAGGTCAGAGAGGGGCTATGGGGATAGGAGCCGAGGGAGGCAGGAGAGGATGCTCTAGTTTTGGAAAACCTGCCCCTGGCTGCTGTGGGGGCAGGAGTGGGGGCCAGGAAGGCAGTGAGGGGCAGTGTGGGCGTCCTGGGGGCAGGGGCTGTGCTGGGGGCGGGTGGAGGTGAGGAGCTATGGGGGGTGGGGTTGGGAAGAGGGGCTGGCGGAGGGAGGTGCCCCATTAGCCCAGGGGGGCAGGCTGGGCGTGGGTGGGCGTGGCAGGCTGAGTCCAGAGGTCACTTCTGGACGCATCTAGGGTGACACGCCCATGGGACGCCAGGGAGAGGCTGGGAGTCCGGGGACCGTGTCTGGCTGGAGATGGACACGTGGGTGTCGTCCTCGGCTCTCGGGGTGTTTAGAGTTGTGGATGAGGTCACAGGGTGGGAGTGTGGACAGAACGGAGACCAGGGCCTGAGTGTCTGCGAGGGGGGTGGGAGGAGAACAGGGGGCAGGGGACCCAGAGGCTGAGGGAGGACAGGCTCCTGAGAGGATGATGGAGAATGAACCAGAGGGTCCTCGTCCGTGGACCGGTCGTGACCTTGACGAGGTTAAGGTTGGACGGGGCAGAGAAGAGGGCAGGAGAGGGCGTGGGGACGGCCAGTGCAGGCCCCCTCTGCTGAGCACCTGCTGTGTACCGAGCTATGGACTGGGGCCTGGGGGGCATCAGAAATAAATCAGGTTTGGCCCGAGGGCCCCATGACGTGGACAATCACATTCCCCTCGGATGTGCCTCATTCCCTGAGCCCCAGCCCACAGTGCTGTGTGGGGCATGCATACAGCAGGCACTGTGCCCTGCAGGAAGGTACACAGAAGGCACTGTACCTTGCAAGGAGTGTATACAGCAAGTATTGTGTTCTGCAAAGAGTGTATACAGTAGGCACTATGTCCTGCATGGAGCGTATATAGCACGCATCATGCTTATAAGGAATGTATGCAGCAGGCATTGCATGCTATAGAAATGCATACAGTAGACACTTTGCCCTGCAGGGATTGTATAAAGTAGGTACTGCACCCTGCAGGGAATGCGTATAGTAGACACTGAACCTTCCAAGGAGTGCATTACAACAGTCACTGCGCCCTGTAGAGAGCGTATACAGAAGTCACCGCACGCTGCCTGAAGGGTATACAGAAGGTGCTTCCTACAGGGAATGGCTATAGCAGGCATTGTACTCTGCAGTGAGTGTATACAGCAGGCACTGAGTCCTGTAGAAAGGGCACAGAGTAGTCACTGTGCCCTGCATGGGGGCCCTAGCACTGTGGGGTCACCAGGTGGGGTAGCAGGGTCCCCTACCCCAAGCTCCAGCCCAGCCCCCCTCCCCGAGGCAGGGCCGGGATGGGATCCGGCCAAGTGGACTCGGGGCCCGTGGATGTGGGTGAGCCCGACTCCTGCTCCCTCTGTGGTCTTGCGGCCTTGGCGCTTAGGAAACGCCCCCCCAGCTCCCTGTGGCCTCACATGATCCCTTAGGCCTGGTCACGTTGTCCACAGGACCCTTCAGCCTCCTGAGTAGACTGGGTGGGGAGGGTCCCGCCTCCCTAGCCCCAGAACCCTGGGTCTCTGGAGCTCCCAGCTGTCCCTGGGCGTGAGCGTAAATAGAGCAGGAACGGCGACCCATCACAGCCAGGGTCACTCATGTAAGCTAGGATTGCTGGTGCCTTCTCTGCCATCCCAGGAAGAACCGCCCCAGGGAGATGCCAACAGGGAGGCAGGAAGCGGAAAGGGCCAGACTTCTGAGACGGTTGTTTGAGTCCCTGGATCGAGCCGTACCTGAAGCCATCAACCCATTATTTATCACTTTAGCAACTTTAGGTCTCTGTGGCTTCTAATCAAGAGGTTCCCACCAATGGAGAACAGCATCCTTTCCATCACCCTCGTCCCCAACAGTTCCCACTTCTCACACCACTGATCCAGCAACTGAGCACATCATCCGCTTCGAGTCACCACTGCCTTGGGGGCTCTCATATCCGATGTGACACTCTCAGCTGCCCCCCGTGAGAGGAATCCTCACCCCCACTTTATGGGTCAGGACACTGGGGCTCAGAGGGGCAAAGTCACACGCAGTGAGACTTGGAGG